CCTATTATGTAAAACTGTTTCAGATATGTAAACAATCCTTACATATCTCAAATATTTACATTATAAAGGCTTTGTAAATGAATTAAGGTAGGTATTTACATATGTACATAGGTAAATACGTACACAGATATACATATTACGAAGCCGGTCCTTATGCCAATCTGACTTTCAGACAGTTCGTCGTAAAATATTACGAAAAACATTAGATACATACGTACATGTGCTTAGATAAATGGTAACAAATGGTTTTAATATAAAAATTCTTTTTTAACAATCTCGTTTATAAATCGAAATACAGTTTTTTATGGAATATTAGAAAAAAATACATATACATAAATAAAAAAAAAACACTTTTAATACAAAATTCATTTCTAACAAAATCGTTTATAAATCGGAATACGTTTTTTTTTTGTTTAATTCATATGCCTAATTATAAAACAGTTAAATATTTACACATTTCGTTGTTAATTTTTCTTTGAACTAAAATGATGAGTATAAAATTTGCAAACGTTCTAAAATTCGTAATTTCTTTAAATACATATAGTTAAATATAACTTATGCTACTTAATAAGCCCTTTTGTGGCACCTTTATGTGAACCTATTTTTAGGCAGTTAAAATTTCATAAAATTCCATGAAAGATTTAAAGATAACATTTCATAAAAGTGGTTATACATTTCACATTTAAAAAACCATTCCCTAATATAAATATATATGTACATAAAAACATATGCCAACCGAATCTCATGTTGGAAATGTCATAATAAGGGAATGTATAAAGTTTATTTTCTAACAAGCCTTTATGTTATATTACATACGTCTAAAGTTATTAAATCACAATTTAAAATAAAAATATGTATCTAGAGCAACAAGGAGTATTGCTTGGAAATATGAGATATTCTTTTTCATATGGGACACCAAATTTGGTGTCACACTTTCGATTGGCTTCAAATTTTTTTATGGGTTCTACATATACATGAAATAAGCTAACACGTGTTCTAGGATTTTTTTTCTTCGGAGATGTGATCTGTCAAAGGTTGCATTTTTTCGTGATTCTGACTAATCATGTACTTCTTCAAATCGTTATATCTCGGGTTCTGCTCATCGTAGAGACTTCACTTTTGTAATTTGTTTTCGTAAACTTATGTAGAGATATTAGTCGGAATCACGAAATAATGCAAACTTTGACATATCATATCTCCAAAGAAAAAAAAAATCCTCGAACACTTGTTAGCTTATTTTATGTACAGAACCCACAAAGCGAATCGGAGACATGATATAATTTTTTTTTTACGAAATCCGTCCGACTTAAAAAATAATGGCTCACATATGTTGTGATAAATACATATGTTTGTACATAGGGTGCATTCCAAAACGTCAAATTTTAAAGCATCAGTCTCTTTTATTATATCTAAACCTCATCAGATTGTGATGCAAAATGTGCGCAACCATGTTTAGATGCTAATTTTCAACTAGGTTGCGCAAGTTGGACCTTTTCTCCTGGTGCGGTTTAGAATTAAAAGAGACTGATGATTGGTATTTTGACGTTTTGGAATGCTGCCATACTTATGTACTATGTGAGATACACAAGTGCATATATGTATTTATTCTAGTATTTTCTCACACATACATGCACATAACATAACATTACTTTGTATCGCATGGAAAATTGCGGCTCCCCCAATTAAAAGTTCGTTTTTGATCGAACTATCGGAAATCATTTTAGCGCGAGTCACTTAACCGAGACATAATTTGATAATGAGTCTTTTGTGGATTTTTTAAGCAAATTACGTATTTTTTGATAGCTTAGTCATCGTGGTAATATGTTATAGACATATATCGTTTTTTTTTAATATTTTTTTTTTTTGTTTATCGAATGCATACTTTAATGTGTGACCACGTTCTACACACGTTATCAGCACAGCCGAAGACGTTTTGGTTTTCCCTTTTACGTATAGACGTTTACAGTTGCCTTCAGACATATACCATCGATCATTTTAGCAGTCTAATTATTGTCGATATATACATATGTATATGTAAATATACCAACCAAAAAATTTCAAGTGCTAGATAGTTTTACAAAAACAATAGTGTTCATGCATAAATAAGACACGTTCATATACACATACATATCGTGGTGGAAATGTCAAAAGATCCTAACTAAACAGTTTAAATTTTTTACAGAAGTAAAAACGGTTACGTCAACAAATGCAATTCTGTGCCATTGTAAAAGCCAATTCGAAATTTTTATAGCAGTACTTTAAAGAATTAAATGAACAAAGAATATGTGAGTCACACAAGAACGCATCCTTGAATTAACTTAAAATCTTTCATTTGTCAGAAAGCACTGAAACTTTTTCGAAGCACAGACTACGCTGTAATTTTTAGCAGCAAATGACCATAAAATTGAACACCACTTTTTGCTGGAATGTCTGTGAACATTAAATGTGGGAAATCAAAAAATATATAAATTTTGAGTTAATACACACTTGAAGAACGTCTGCGATACATAAAGAAGTACCAAAAGCTGGTCGCATCAATCTCAAAAGTAATTTGGAAGCCTAGTGAACGAAAGCTATTAAAAAATAGATATATCGTTTACGTTGCTTTCTAACAATAAAATTTTGTTGATTCGCCCAATCATAGCCAATTAATTATAAGTACATATCGCTAGCTTTTTATGACAACGCGTATTTTGTTACAAAAAGGCTAGAGCAATTGAAAATACATCGTTTCGAAAAGGGAAATGTACTTTCTTTATGTTTTCTTGTTTATATTCAATGAAAGGAAAATTTGCTAAGTCCAAAAGAAGCTCCGAAAATTTGATGAGGTCTCAAAATACTACGAAACCTTTTGTGCAATTTCTTGTGCAAAATCGATTTAAAAACTGGAAAAGAGAGCTAGAAAAGTTTAAGGAACATTAGGGCGAAACGTACCATCAGAACGCTATGCAGGATGGACAAATTTTTAAGCTTATTGTTAAATTGTGTTTACTCGTTATATGGAAGTGAATTCGACAAAAAATAAAATCTAAACAATCAACGGTTGATAATTTTTAGCAATTTGAAACTTGCACATTATTACACTAAAATTTAATGGGCTATATAAAACGGTGTACTCGAAAATAGTCTAGCACTTCTGTGAAAAAAAAAATGGAAATTTGCGTGAAAATCTGTTGGTCTCTTAAAAAGTTTTAAACTTTGGTTTATATGAGTTTTGTTGGAGACCAAACCGTATTTTAATTAAAAATTCTTTAAAAAAATATTTAAACATAAGAGGCAAACCACATCACTTAAAAATGGGGGTGCTATAGACATGTCCAAAACTGTATGAGGCACTGTAATTTCATAATGTATCACACTGACAACTGAGTACGGATTTGTTTGAAGAGTTTAAATGTTATTATAACCCGTAATTTGGCGCAATCATTGTATGTTAAGCATGTAATAGTACTACAGCAAAAGCAATAAAATTATAGTTTAAAAAACTAAAACCTCGCTATTATAATTTCCATTCGTACGGATCATCAGGTATGTAACTTGAGAATAGAAATCGCTGCATCTTTTAGGCGCATCAATATAACATAGTTACATACCGAGCTAATAAAAGGGAGGTAAAAAAGTGCATTATTCTTGTTATTATAATTTCACTCACAAAAGGCTGGACGGATTTACATGAACGGCTTTTAAAGTGAGTTGCCACCTGTTTAAAAAGTTAAATTCAGTTTTGGCACTTTGACGCACTGCGGGTTTACTGCGTAACCATCCTTAATGTCCCGTTTACATTATGCCAGTGGCATGCCAGTCCAGTGAGCCTGGCCAGCGCTGGATTGGAATGTCGACTGTCTCCATTATTCCATTATTCAGAAGCTAGTTAAATGAAAGTACGATGTCCTTAAGCTAAAGGCAAACGCAGTAAAAATGTTTTAGGCGGACTCATTTGAAACAATCTCAATTTACTTCCATAAATCATTTCACTGTATAGTGTTCTGCGAGCACTGGCATACCAGGCATGGGAGCACTGGAATGAAAAGTAGACCGACAACCAGTTACTAGCATGAACCTTTTACTAAAATCAGTTCATAGCAGTACCTCTTATTATAACAGTACCTTGAATGGTTCACTGGACTCGCATGCTACTGGCATAATGTAAACGGGCCATAACAATCAATTTTTGAGCTTATAAAATCTCCAACCTTACATTTGAACATCCATCGTCTTTATCACAACATAATGTTATTTATCGAATAGTTGCTCCAAATTCACAAGCCATAAAATAAAACTGTAGATTCCATACTTATATAAAATTAAGCATTAAATCACATTGCACAAGGCAAACGAAAAGTAAATAAAACATCATTGCATTCTAGTAAAGCGAATATGGTACGATACATAATACATGTAAATATGTAAGTAAACAAATTTTATACATGCCTATATTTTAAACCAATAAATTAACTATTATAAATTTATTTTCGTGTCATTGCTGGCCAATTAGGCGCACAAATTGCTTCTTTTTTTTTTGAGTACCTAGTATGGTGATCTCAGTCTTTAGTTATATCAATTAGTGTTTTTTACTTAAATCCGATAGGCTGCGTTTACTTTGATGCTTCTAGAATATTGAATCTATATGTATAACACTGCATTTAATTAAATTAGCCTAAAACAGTATTTGAGCTTTCTACATGCATACATAGTTAGATACAAATATGGTATTTGATACACTTAAAATTAATTGGTAAAATGTGTGCTTACTTTTAACTGAGAGCACACACAGTTTTTGTACACATTATACATACATACATACATTTTTATAAAAAAAAGGACATTGCGTATCACTACCCCGAGAAATGTAAAACAAACAACTCAAAACTCTTCACCTTCCGAGTTAACCACACAAAATGTCCGCACGTCGTACAATAAATGCAACAATTATGGCAACAAGCATAAATATCTGGCTGCGAGGCATCACCATACACGCCGCACATGTTAACGTATCCCGCGGATATTTATTNGCCGCGATGCAACCAGTCGTTGGCATTCACACGTATTGATAACGTCTGACCAGGATAGTAACAAGTGTAGGTGTAATTGGCCACCAGTATATGAAGACGACCATCGGTACAATTGTACTTGTAGCAACCTGAACCCCAGTGCTGCCATTCACGCGTCTGATGACATGATCGCTCTTCCCACATAAAGTCACTGTGATCAAAGCACTTCGAGCCGATGCCGTAACTCTCCAAAGCGAAATTCTTTTCAGGTTCTAAAATTTTAATATATGCAAATGTAATTTAGTTGGACGTTAGTTAAAACGGTGGAAATGGAAATCTATATAGTATAAAACATATGCCAATACTTACTCGGATTATTCTCGACAAATCGACAATGTGAGCCGCGCACAATTACATTTTTACTGCGCCACGTAAACTCTTGAATGTAGGGGCAGTGATCTGCCAATGATACGGATCCACCATAATAGCCTTCTTCGCCGCTTATGACATGACTTATGCTGTCGAAATTCTTTAGAATTGCAAATAGATTAATGCATGACAAATTATTTGGCATTTATTTTTTGATGTGTGCAAATGCAAATTACCTGATATTTCTTTGGCAACTCGTAATCATGCCGTATTAAATTGCACAGCGCCACCGAATTGCGATCATCCGTGCATTCAGTTTGTAAGGGATCTTGCTTTACTTTTGAACAAAACGGATGAATTGAACGACCTCTGCAATAAATAGGTAATTATCTTATGAGCTCACATTGTATGAGAATTAAATTAGATTTAATTTCCCGCATACCGCAGCCAATTCTCGCGTTCATTGCTCGTACTATAGTTTGCAATAGGGAAAGAATAGTGAGGTAGTTTATTCAATTAGAATCGCTTACATGAAATAGGCACTTTAAATTGAGCAACGACGAATGGATGATGATTAATGAACGACGATGAAAACACAAAGGGTTAGCTCGATTTCACTTTGCAAGCAGACGCTAGGTTTTCTTTAGGTTTTACAATGCGTTTATTATTCATTTTATTTGTGATTCTCAGATTTATAATTATAATTTTTTTATTTTTTTTTTANAGTTTTACAATGCGTTTATTATTCATTTTTTATTAGTGATTCTCAGATTTATAATTATAATTTTTTCCTTTTTTTTTATTTCTGACTTAAACGTTCTTCACGTTATAACTAAATTGCGAGCTCAACTAGAGACTAATAATATTAATAGTTTGGCGTTTAAACTTTTGCTAAGTATTTGGCAGAGCTTCTCCTCCAATTTGTGGTCTGCGTTCTGATGTTAATCCGATGAAACAAATGGAGGGAACTAGAGTTTTACGCCGCCTTCGAACAGCAATGCTTTGAATTAGAAGCCCTTTCATTACAGAAATACAGTCGGTGTTTTGCCATTGCTTGCCGTTTGGCTCTTATTTCCTAAATTCCAATTGTCGAACATGTATTCATCCGCTCATGCATCTTATCTTATTTTTGATGTGTAAACAGCTTAGCTCTCGGTATGGGTAAATCTTGCGTTAACCCAGCACAAAATCTGTAATTGCTTCTTGTGTGTCGAAATGAACACCTCTGGACTATGTCAGGATCATTTCGGACACAGTTCACGACAAGTTTAAGGCCGTTTCGGGACATTTCAGGACTATTTCAGGACAATTTAAGAATTTGTTCGGAATCATTTGTGACTAGTTCTGGTACGTTTCGATACCAGTTCTGGACTATTTCAACAATATTTTCATTTTGAGATTAATAGATAAGGGACCACACCAAGACTTGTTTTGAGATCACATCGGGACCTTTTCTAGAGTATTCCGGGTCAGTAGTATGGTGCTATGATTCTTAACGGGGAGCATTTAGGCCTCGTCATGTAGGTGGTGTTTTGGCGATATCAGAAGCCCTCCCGTGACGGCCCAGAGTTCCGTGTTTTGCCAAGTCTGTAGCTGCATCCACTGCGTCCTGCTGGTCCCCAACGGCCACACGGGTGCTGCATATTTTACGTTGTAAAAAACGTTGCCTTGTCTTCGTCCCAGGTACTGCCGGCTAGCGACTTGAGGACCTTGTTGAGGCTCTGAACTCTATTGACAATTGCGGTTGTGTGTGCTGAGAAAAAAAGCAGACTGATGAAGGTAACTCCGAGGGTTGTTCACAGTTGGAATAGGTTCGACGTCGACGTGAACTCCCAGCTGTAGTCTGACCTCTTTAGTTCAAGTGGTAAAAATGATTACCGAGAATTTCGTGGGGGATAGTCTTAGGCTCCTTGTAGTGCGTTTAATTTCGAGCAAAAGTCATCAAAACCATTTCCGAACCACACTGTGGAACCCCCTGTTTAATTCTTCTTGGTTTCGAAGTTTTATCGCTGATGATGATTGACGAACGACGACCACTCAGAAAATTCGTTGACTGCCAGTTGAGAGCGGAAGCTGTCGGAGAGCGGAACCCTCAATGTATTTTAGTAGCGTAGAGTGGCAGACAGTGTCAAGCGCCTTTGACCAATCCAACGTACATCGATTCCGTCACCTTTGAGTGGCGGCTAGGGTTCATCTCCTTTACTCGCGTCCGTAAGTGAAGAAGTGTTACCTCCATAATTTAAGCATGCTCTGGGCATTTCTACTATCGAAGCATGCTTTCAAATCAAGCCTTAAACAAGTCTTAAAGAACACCACCATTCCGTTTATGCGAAGCCTTATTAATTCTTTCTAACCCAAGTAGTTCTAGTGCAACAACAAAACCAAATTAACTCCAGCATTCCTTTAATACTATTAATTTTAAAATTGTTATTGAGCTTTGTACCACGATTATGTTTATTAGGAAAAATGGTAAAAGCAACAAAGTCTAAGCGATAGAAGTTATACCTCCACATCAGACTTCCGACTTTGCACATCGATGATATGGGTTCAATCCCCGTTGAAGTCTAGAAAAAGGAGCCTGATGAGTAGATGTGGTGATCTCGGAAATTGCAGCTATAACTTCTACCGCTTAGACCTTGTTGCTTTTTGGATTTTTCCAAATAATTATAATCGTGGTACAAAGCTCGATAATAATATTAAATAAAATGTTAATAAGCCGAAATAAAATTTACAAAGCTTTTATTAAGTTTCACCTGTGTGTAATCAACTCTTGAAATAAATGTTTAACCAACTTCCCAATGAGTTAGAGATTCGAGCACATAACCCGATGACAATGCAATATGAAAGATGAATTAATCCGCTAGGTGGCCCAGCTGTCGAGAAATTTGAAATGCCCGTATTTATGGTACCATATGGTTCATATTTTGANCAATAAAATTTACAAAGCTTTTATTAAGTTACACCAGTGTGTAATCAAATCTTGAAATAAATGTTTAACCAAATTCCCAATGAGTTAGAGATTCGAGCACATAACCCGATGACAATGCAATATGAAAGATGAATTAATCCGCTAGGTGGCCCAGCTGTTGAGAAATTTGAAATGCCCGTATTTATGGTACCATATGGTTCATATTTTGAATGTATATTACCTACATAAAAATAAATAACTACACAAAAATTTTGTCCGATAGGTGGCGAAGGAAGCGAGATATATTTGGAAAATCCGTACTTATGTAATGACTACACCAAAAATTTTGTCTTTAGATGGTGCTGGGTCAATTTTTTTTTATTAACAACTAGTAAAAGCTTGTCTTTGAAAACTGATTTTTAAATGCATTTCAATGCCAACATTAATGTGATCAGCTCATCACCATCCAAACGCTCATGTACCATAAAAAAAAATATGTGTATATGTATTTCCCAATAATAGTCAACTAACCTTCCATTANCAAATAACTCCACAAAAATTTTGTCCGATAGGTGGCGAAGGAAGCGAGATATATTTTGAAAATCCGTACTTATGGACCGATTTGTTTTATTTTTGGAACATACATATATTACTTAAATGGGATGAAATGACTACACCAAAAATTTTGTCTTTAGATGGTGCTGGGTCAATTTTTTTTTTTTATTAACAACTAGTAAAAGCTTGTCTTTGAAAACTGCTTTTTAAAGTTGCTTGTTTAATATTTTTTTTTTCATATGCTTGCTAATAAAATGCATTTCAATGCCAACATTAATTTGATCAGCTCATCACCATCCAAACGCTCATGTACCATAAAGAAAATATGTGTATATGTATTTCCCAATAATAGTCAACTAACCTTCCATTATTAGCTTGAATCCAATCCTTACAACTTTGCATAACAAAATTGCAACCAAGACCTTTTCCCCATGAAAGCGGCGCCGCCATGCTGTAATTGGCACGATACCAACCAGAATCTTCCATTAATGCTAAAGTAATACGTGAAAATACTGGCGATTGCGTATGTGTTCCTGTCATTGCCTCATTCTATGTAAACAGAATTAAAAATACGAGTACAATTAAAAAATAAAACACACACAGTTTTGCTAGAAAATACCTCTAAAATGCGCTTTTCCCAGTGAGTCAATGCTGTGCCTTCACCTCCTTGGTCTTCCAACTCCGCACCCTCAAGCTTTGGGCAATTAAAGTGTTTGCGAACTTCGGCCACGACACGCGGTGTCACCATCATATCCAACGTCTTGCGAACATGACCACCACGTACTGACCAATTTTCACGTACCACTGTTCTTATTGTCTCGTTGCTCCACTGGTGAATTTGCAGTCTTCAATGAAGAAAATTTGTGAAATATTGTTGCTAAAAGAAGACCATAAACTTACTTTTCATTTAAATAAGGCTTTCCAGTATCGGGCTTGCGTGGCGTCCTGGGTTGGCCTTCATCGTCACGAAAGAACGCATAGAGACTGACTGAAAACCCAAGCNAATTGTTGCTAAAAGAAGACCATAAACTTACTTTTCATTTAAATAAGGCTTTCCAGTATCGGGCTTGCGTGGCGTTCTGGGTCGGCCTTCATCGTCACGAAAGAACGCATAGAGACTGACTGAAAACCCAAGCGCATGCAGAATTTCGTGCTTCACTGTCGACAATAAAGTCTGTAGTTCCTGCGGCTTTGTGCTTATACTCTCTGGACACAGATTGGCATGTCCCGCAATGGGGCGGTCTAAATGGGCTTCTTGTTGACAATGTGCTGCATAAGCAACCGTTAGACCCTTGTGACAGCGCTCTGTTTGCCGTGCTGACACATAAAATATAAAGTCTGCATTTTCAATGCCATCACCTGCTTGTGTAGACTCGTCAATTCGGCAATTTTGTCCGGTGGCGTTGCATACGCGACAAACCTGCGGAATGTGAGAAGCTTACAATAAGTACTATTATAAAAAAAAAATAAACATATTTGCAAGTTTTTGAAGAACAACTTAAGTTTATCTTTTACGGAAAAACAAAGTAGCGTGTGTCGGAAAAGCTCTTTTTTCTGTCAGAGCAATAAATTCTACTTAAAAGAAAACGTTGTTATTGAAAACTGAAACATTTTAAAATGTTGTGAATAGCGATAAAATAATTTAATATTTCTTTCTATATATGTACGAAATTTATCTTTCTGAAGGTGAAATATGTTTTGTCGATTTATGCTATTTTTTTTTTGTGTCTGGAAGATAGACTTAAGTCGTTCTTTCAAATGTCCACAGATATGTATGTATCAGAGTTGTGAAACATGCATTAATTTTGTAATGCATTAATGGTATTTAAAGCAATAATATTAATGTAAAAAATTAATGCATTAATTTATGAAATTAAATTAAATGAAAATTTCAATGTATTAATTCTGAAAAATGTAATGCTAATGAAATTTTTTTCATTAAATTAAAAAAAAAAAATTTTAATACACTAAAATGTTTAATACTTTTGCTCGTTTGCATTATTAAAAACCAAAAAAATTTTTTCTAGTGAAATATAAATAATCACTTTTGGAAGGACTTGGAATAGTTACCAATAGTTTTTTCTGCTTCATTATATTATGTGTATGTGTAGAAAAATTCTTCTAAACATTGTTAGATGTTTTATGAAAATAAAAGCCAATGTGCATGCAACTCAGAGTGCTTTTGTAGATTTTTATGTTGATTGTTGATGCATACCGATTACATATATTATAAGCCAAAAACGGACAGCTAGCCAATTTAGCAGCGCATGTACACGACTGAGTACCTACTCTGATCTAAATCAATCAATAAACCGTTTTTTTAGTTCCATTTGACAATGTGTTTTTACCTATTTAACGACAAATGCCATTGAACTTGACATAGTGGAAACCAGCCTTAACGTTCGTCATTATCTTTTTTGGCCGTAAAATTCTAGTTTTTAATGCTTGCTATAATTTTAATGCAATATATTATTGCAATAGCATTCATTTAAACATTTTAATGTTAATACAAAAAAAAAAAATCATTAACATTTTATCTTCGGAATTAATGCACTAAAATTTTCATTTACATTAAATATCAAAAATTAATGCATTAATTTTTTCCATTTAAATTAAAATGCTATACATTTAAAACTTTTAATGCATTTTTCACAACTCTGGTAAATATGTATGAACATATGCATGTCATTAATTCAAAATTGTGAATAAGTCTGGTGTTATTATACACATGGTCGTTTAAAGTACAAAACCGCGTATCAACAAAATGCAAAACCGCGTATCAGCAAAATGCAAAACCGGGTATGTGAAGCTGTAGAAATTATTTTCTAGAGAGTAAAAACACTCCTATTTCAAAATGGTTCTCTTTTCTATAAAGCAATCGCATTTCTGGCTAGTATATTTCAGGATGAATGGATAAGGATTGAGCCAATTTTGGCAACAAATGTCAGTTACGCGGTTTTGCAGAATGACGATACGCGGTTTTGTCCTTTAAACGACGATATGTAATCTTATAAGCTTAGTGTTATATTTTATGTTTTTTCCATCTTTATCCCTACCTCTACCCTTTTCGTTCTAATATCGAGAAAAATATCGATAAGTATCGATAAGGAAACCAATAAAATATTGATAACAAAAACTATAAAAAATATTGATAACAAAATCTATAAACATATCGATAACAAAAATTATAAAATATCGAAAAAATATCGATAAAAAATCTATAAAATATCGATAGCATAATCGGTTATTTTATCGATAACAGTATCGATTTTTATGTTAACAATATCAATAAATATGTTCATCAATAACAATATCGATAAATATGGTCATAAGTGTATCAATAACAATATGCTTTTTTATATCAATAAAAATATCGATTATTACATCGATAAAAATATCCATATATATCTATACATATATATATAGATAACAAAATCGATTATGTAGATAACAATATTGATAAGTATATCGAAAACAATATCTATATATACAATGAAAATTCCGAATCTCGAAATAGTCCCGAGAATCCGGAAAATCTCATTACTTTTATACTAATCTTTCTTCCTCTATGTTCATTTTACATTTATCGGTATCCTCATCCTTATCTTTTTCTTAATATTTACCTTTATTTTTAGCTTACATCTTTTATATTTCGGGACCTTTCGCGATTTTTCAAAGCCGTTAATTTTTTTATTTTTATTTTTTAATTCTTCCAGTTTTACTTTTCGAATTGTTTTCGTAACATTTCGGTTTCAGATTTTTGGGGACGGTTTGGGATTTTTACATCCAAAAGTAAAATTTAATCATAACATTGCTTATAATGAATGCCTAACAATTAAAATGCGAAAATACCAGTTAATTTCTGCTCAAAATAGTATATTGCGAAATTTTACCTTAAAAAATACAAATTTTAATGATATGTTTTCTTTTTTGGTTTGCAGCCCTGCTCAGGAGTACAACTAACCAAATCACTCGAATAGTACATTTCAATCAAATGAAACTATTAAACTGCCCGCGGCTGTAGTTCAAATAATAGTGCATTTACACAAAATACTCACATCTAAATGTTCCTTTGGCACTTCAACCTCTCCGCACATTGTCACCTTTTTACAGTTATCGATGCAATGCGTCAGCCCATTTTTCACAAACACTTGCGTACTGTTACATTTTCTATGTGAATCAAATATTTTAAGAGGAAATTAATACATTTTTTTTATGCGCTTTCCGTTGTTAAGTCGGTTATAGTAACACCAACCTGTTAAGCCTAATTACACCCTTTGTTTCGCGCACCATTAGCGCTTGTTCCCAAAATTGTACAGCCTCTGGTAATACTGTGTTCTGTAAGTTGAATGAAGGCATAATTAAAAAAAAATATAATAATAACAAGAAAAGCATGCAATATACTTACGTTGATCAACTCGAACTTATCTTCATCTAATCTGTTAAAAAAAAAGAAAAAAAATACAGTGAAATAGATTAAACCAACGATTTTGTTTCGAAACTGACAAGTAAATTATTTAATAATAAATGCATACATATTTAAGATGAGCATTAGGGTGTTCCTTAAAATCAAGTGAAGGATATTTTTCAGTCTCACCCTCAATCGGTAATACCACGATCACAGATATCGCATATAAATTTTGGTCCCGATTGGAGTCGGTTATGGCGTCTTCATAGGGTGTTCTGATCTTTGACCCCTGTGCGAGCCTCAACCGTCTCCAATTGGGAACAAAATTTATATGTGTTATCTTCGATTATAGTAGCATCGACGTATGGGTTAACGCTTAGGAAATCGGATGTAAAAATTTGCTTCTTACATGTAAGGGCCACCCTAATGTTCACATATAAACAATCAATCAGCAGCTAAAATAAGAATGTAAGTATGTATGACCCAGAAGAAAAACCATTTCACTGTGCGGCTTTTAATGAAATTACGGGCTTGTAACTTTTCCACGAAAAGCGAAATACACAGAAAAAAATTGAGAAAAAGTTCGGCTTAGTTAATTTTTTTTTTGTTCGTTCCGTTTAAGTGACCTAGTACAGGTCGTAGGGCTGGCCGAGTAATTCACGAAACTGTTTTCAAAATTTTTCTAACACCCTGAAATTCTCAACTTTTTCTTAAAAAACTATTTTCGCATGACTCCCGGCACTAAAAAAATATATGGAAAACTTTTGTATTAAATCTGAAGTTTACAACAATTTTTATTATTTCTTCCACTTCTACAACATTTTTTGATAAAATTGCAAACAAACCCTGTATATTATAGGCAATACTTCGAAAAGAATGTTTAATTCCGAGTAAAAGAAGGTACCATTCGTTAAAATCAACCAACAAATTATTAAAATATGACATTTTTTATAGAGTTAAATTTGATGGCATATTCGGATTTAGCGGTTACAGTATTCCGGTCAAATTTGTCGATCACATACCTACATACTATAAGTGGCAGTCGATGTGTTAAAAAAGAAATAAAATGTTTAATAGGTAGTCGAGAAAGTGGCCGCAAGAGTTCAATTGTATGTATTTATATACATACATATGTCTACACGTACTTAAAAATATGCAGACATAAACAATTATAAGATTAACTAGTTGCATAATATTTATTTTGATCGTAATAATAGTCGAATAATTTGTTTTTATCACTTGCTTAGCACAAACGGTAGTTTGTATCATCCAAATATGGCGCAACATGTAGGTTGTATACATATTTGTATGTAGTACAGAAGTAGGTATGTGCATTAGGGTGGTCCAAAAACAGTAAAGTCGAAATGGTAATGCTCTCACCCGCTAGGATTGTTCTATATCGAAAAAAGTGTATTCCTATTTTTTTATTTTGAAATCAAAAAATATTTAGGGGTCGCTCAAGCGCTCAAAGTTTTCCATGTATTTTTGTATGGGAAAAAACTACTCTTCATAGAAATGGTATAGAATTCTTTAAAATCAATATTTTTCGATCGGATCTGGTTCTCTTCAGGAGACTTTCGATAATAATACCCAATTGATTATTTAACCATTTTTTAATACTAACGATTTTTTATTTATAGCCCCATTGCATTTTTCGGTGTTTTTTGTGGGTTTTTGGCGGACCTATAAATTATAGTTGCGATGAAAAAATAGTTAAATAAAAAATTGGGTATTATTACTGGGGATCTCCTGCAAACAAACAGAATTTTCCCGACAGAAAAATAATGATTTTTAGGAAATCTATACCATTTCTACGAAAAGTTGTTTTGCGACCACTAACTATTTTTTGATTTCAAAATAAAAAAATAGGGGTCTACTTTTTTTCGATATAGAACAATTCTAGGGGGTGAGAGCATTACAATTCCGACTTTACTTTTTCACATGCATTTTTGGACCACCCTAATGTGTATAGATGCAAAGCTTCAATTTAAAAGCACGGCTGTGCCTTTCCTTTGACAGTTTGCCTACACATTTGTCCACTTAAGCAATTATTTAGCTTGTAAGTGGTATAATTTAATATATTTTTGCCTACATTTAGTATTTGTCATTTTTGCACTCTGCAAGACTCATTTGTGATTTTTATGAATCTAAGAAAATTGTTGCAAATCTCTGTACTGTAAGGATATTTTGCTATCTGTATTCGAGACTACATATGTAAGTAAGGTTTTTCGAAAGGGATTCGATCAGTTAGAATCGACGGCAAGTTAATGTTTGAATTGAATATATGTAGATATGTATGTATGTATGTATGTATGTATGTAGGCAGAGCAACAACTAAATGGTAGAAAGAGTAGGTATGTATATACTTTTTTGGCGAGAGTCAAATGCGATGAAAATTTTGCTCACAAAAAACCATCTGTATGGTGGTGGTGGAAGGCGGAAAGCTGCAAGCTCATCAAGACGAACATCAAAGTTGAAATCTTCTGCCACATTTTCGAAAATATATTCTACACGTTATTAATCTGATTAGCGCTGTGGAATCACGTTTGTGCACTGTTATCAAGTTACAAATGTACAAATCGGTCATACAAATGTAAAAACAAACAAATGTGAATATATGTANTTTTTCTATATTTGAATCATGATTTTTTTTTTAGATTCTAAAAAAAATGTTTCTAGGATTTAATCTTAATATGAACTTTTAATTAGTATAAGCAAATGTATCTAATAAGTGGTATTTGAGATATACCTTGAAGAGCACCAATCTTGATGATGTTCTCAGTTGGCCTTGTGTGATTGATAAGCAAATAGTGCAGAAAAATGCACAGTTGTCTTAAGGAAGTTTTTTTTTTTAAAGCAAAACAGCAAATCTGAACTAAAAGTTGTTTGGGAGCTATAAGTTATAGTGACCCGATATTGATGTTTTTTACTGTAAACTTTATACCTATCAAGAGGGTAAGCACAAAAATTCATTTTCTTAGCTGCTTAAATGGAGGAGTTATAACGCAAAATCTCATATCTGAACAATTATATATGTATATATGGCAGTTATATTTGAATGTATGCATATGAGTAACCACGACTTTCACAAATGATTATTACTTTATAAGAAGTCGCCCGCGCATCTCTATAGTTTGCTTTCAAGCAAACAGACCGACGAACAGAGAAATATACGAACATACATGCGCATATAGATAAATTTATATGACTTTTTATGGATATATCTCATCTCCTTCTTGCCCTTACAAACAACGAACCAAACATATAATACAATTCCATCACCTTGCAAAGCAGCCACGAAGCCTTAATTAAAATGTGATTGAAAAACTTAAAAAACTCGGTGGTTGGTACCGACTTAGACTGTATTGTTTTTTTGCAATTTTTCTAGAGAAATTACATAACTGACTGGCTGGATGATTGTTGATAAAAAGAAAGATTGAATTGAAGTAGAGTGAAGTTTTTTGAGTGAAAAGGTTCTCCGTCGAATATATGCGCGTCATCTACATATGTACATATATCCATAGAGTAAAACTGTTGACTCGCAGAATTAAACTATATACAATAAAGCCAACTTTTAGCCCGGCTCATTTCATTAAGTAAACCTTACTACTAAATATAAATGGACCTCCCTAATACACAGCTCAATAGTAATCGTAATCATCAAGGGCAACCAGCGTTATTGCGGCAGCATTGCTGCGAAAACCTGTTCAACTACGCAAATTGGTAAATTAAGTTTGCAGAAAATTAGCAATTTAATGAAACTCGCTCGCATTTTTACAAATCGTATATATGTATGTACATATATATATAAAGAAATTATGCATGAACATGAACAATTGCTCCTATGATGCTGGAAGTAAGTTAATTTAGTTTGCGGGAAGCGAAAAACGTAGTAGACTAGTTAACTGTATCTACATAAAAATTGTGAATTATAATTTATGTAGCAAAATAAGGAAATAATTAAAAGTACATAAAACGTTTTAGTATATGTAGTAAGTAATGCTATATATGTATAAGTAGATACATATATAAATATATAAATATAAAATGCAACGAATAAACTTCCAACTATTTACTTAAGTACGTATCTCTATTTAGAATCAACGTCGATAAAGTTGCTCTTTATTGCGAAATTATACTAAGTAGCGATTTTTATGCATCGTGTATATATTTTTAAAATGTATACATATACTCTAAGGCTCTAATGATGACGTATCAAAATAAATAGGTTAGGTTAGATTAGGCTAAACGGGCAGCTCTGCGTAGAGTTCACTCGGAGGCCACGAACGCCCATTGCGATGCCCATGGGGGGTTACCCCAAGCCTATCACTACATGTCTTTGAACCATTTTGATTTTCTAGCGCGAATTCAAGTAGTTCTTCCAGAGAAGCTTTCCCCAAGGTATCCAGTTTCTCGAAGTAACTTGAGGCGTTTTCCTCGGAGTGCTGGATACTCGCAAAGTTAGTGCTGGACGGATTCTAACTCTTCCTCATCCCTGCAGCTTCTACAGAAATTGTTATGCGAGACTCCAAACCTGGCGGATATGTGGCCGATTGTCCAGTGACCCGTGAGTTATCCTGTGAGAAGCCTAACACTTGGCTTTAAAAGCCTTAATATACACCTTGGTCATGGCCAGAGCGAACGCGATACCATGCAGGTGTGCAGACTTTCCCACCTACTGTTAGTGGCTGCCCTAATCAGTCTCTCCGCTTCTGAAGACCAAAAATGCAGGGGACGTTTCACGATCTGGATCGCTTCCCCTAGCCCCATCTCAGATCCCCTTCTAGCACACTCGTCCGCATTCTCATTTCCCAGGACACCACAATGCCCCGGGACATGTAGGGCATGTAGGGATCTTCGGCATTCTTTAGCACATAACGTAGTCGTTGCCGACCCTAAGGCTTTGATAGCCGCCTGACTGTCTACAACGAAGGCAAGTTTAGATGCAGCTAGGTCCTGCTCATCAACCTTGGCGCCATGTGGCTTGCATATATCTCAGCCTGAAAAACACTGAAGTGATCTGGGAGTCTA